ATTTACGCCTGCAGCAGGTAGGGGGCGGAGCTTCCTGTGACCAAATATGGTCATTGATGTTCATGGAAGCTGGTTGGGTCTCTTACCACCCAACTTTTTATCGCATGTGCACAAACGTATTGCATACCCAAACGCCACTGGCCAGTAAATGATAATAAAATCCCACGATTGTGAAATATCTCATTTAAAAGAAGACCGACTCATTTCTGGAAATATGTGAGCAGATTCTGTAGGTTGAACAAAAAAAACCTTTTCCCACTGGAATTTTAAAAAACAATTTATTTTTGTTACATCATTTTAATAATCTATAGTCGACCTTTCCCATTAACTAAACTTGTTCTTCAGGTTGTGGACAATTTCTGTGTAAAATTCCAGATCTCTACTCAGATGAATCGTGAAACTATGAATCTTTTTGTGTGTAAAAGTTCCATTCGACACAATTATGCCAAATTTGGACCAAATGTGGGAGGAGCACGTGGGACGGCCTTATGTAAACATATCACCAGAATGATTGACAGTTAGGAGGACAAATTATTTGGATGATCCACCCAGAAATAGAAGATCATCCTCCATACCTTTAAGGTAATGAACAAAAGATTAAATTATTTAAATGATGCTTGCAGCTTAAAAATAAAACAGGAACGAAGACTGAAAACTAATTTCTTACCAGAAAAGTTAAAATGATTATAAATATATTGTTAATATAAAAAGCATAATGTTAGTCAGAACTTTACACTATGTTTTTTTTGTCTTTTACTCTGTTAATGAATGTAAAGAAGATTAAAAATATCTTTTCTGGACTTTTAAAGCAGCAGAACCAGATTCATGTCTTTAAATTGTATTTTAAAACCAAATTTGCTAATAAAATCAGGGATTTTTAGGTGTTTTATTGAACGTGAGGTGATCGGGTGTTTGTTTTGTTCTCACGTCTCTCAGATGTTTCTGTTGGGCTGGATCAGAAATGGAACAAACCGTCCATCTCTCCTCAGAGAACATCTTTGCTTGTTTCCAGCAGATGATTTCCAGGCGTTAAACAGCCGTTTGATCGGCACTTTTCCCGGACCGGTTATTGATCTGCCTTCCATTGAAGTCCGGCGCGGTTTATGACGTCGCTTTTATTGATCCTGTGTTTGTTTAGAGGAGCTTTGAGAGGAGCTTCATGTGCTGAGCTTCTGTAGCTCCTCAGATGTTTCTGCTCCATCAGAACGACGAATCGATCTCATCCTGGAATATAAACAAGGATCTGTGAATATTCTAAAAATCAATCATTTTAAATGTTCCTAAAAATCCTGAAATCCTTAAATCCCCTGAAATAAAAGAGCTATAATCAATGAATAAATGGTGAAGAGTCGCTTCATTTTAATCTAAATCTCTTTGTTTTTTGTCACTTAGTTTGAATCAATTCTAAATTGAAGGTAAAATATAAATATTAATCCAGCATTTCCACAGATCCACAGCAGCCTGCCTTTCTGTTTTTCTCATTAATCATCCTCAAACCTCCCACCTTAAGTCTCGCCTGAATACTGAGTCCATCTGACCCGTTTTATGACAAGTCCTGGACGGTTTGATTGAAGGTCTGAAGCTCCTGACAGATCAGAACCACTCAGGGAGCGTTTGTTTTGTTCCACAGGAGCCGCAGCCTTCGGACTCCGGCCAACATGTTCATCATCAACCTGGCCGTCACAGACCTGCTGATGTGCATCACCCAGTCGCCCATCTTCTTCACCACCAGCATGCACAAGAGGTGGATCTTTGGAGAGAAAGGTGAGCAGAGAAACCATCCAATGAATAACCTACCAGCCACCTTCAGGGGGTGCTGTGAAGCACAGCTGTAGCAGGATGTTTAGCTCGAGCAAAGATATCAGCTCTGTGGTTGGTTTTTAGTGTGGATTAGTGTCTGATATCATATTAACATCTGATATCGTTGTTGAACCAGATTTTATTGGTGTATAAAATCAATTAAAATGATCTTTCAGCTGAATTTGATTTTTAGAAAAAAAAAAAAAAGTTTCATCATCTTTATTTTAAGTAAAGTATTTCTGTAATGATCTTATTTCAGAGGCTAAAATTCTCATTTTATTAGCAGAAGATTTTATCTACCTGCTGAAATAAAAATGAAACAAAATCATTTCATGAAAGTTTTGTTTCTTTTTATTTCCTGGGTTCAAAGAAAAACTGGATCTTTAAATAAATTAGGATATTTATTTCTGCAGCTTCTGCCTCCTTTGGTCAAAGTAGAACCAGTCTGTTGGATCCCAGTAGAACCAGTCTGTTGGATCCCAGTAGAACCAGTCTGTTGGATCCCAGTAGAACCAGCCTGCTGGATCCCAGTAGAAC